CTCAATACCTTTTCCCCGAGAAATATTCTCAGTACAAATACCCCCTCCTCCTCCTCAACAACAGATGAGAAGAACAAGAAAAGGTTCCCCAAGACGGCGATACGTGGATCTTACGAATGGGTATTTAAACCCCTCTGGATTTGTCTCGTTTTTTTTTTGAGCAGGGTCGAGAGTCTAGAGTCTAGAATCTGTAGATTTGTTGCGGGGATAGGATGAGATAGAAGGGATAAATGTGAATCGGTATGGATAAGGAGATCTGGGGTTTGGGTTTGTTAGATGGTTGAGCCTCTGAGATTTGGACATTTGAGATTTGAGATATAGAGTAATGGGGCGAGTGAGCAAATGAGTCCTGCTCATCCTAACTATTTATAAGATTCATTGATTTCTCAACAATAAACTCGAATTCGAATATCTACCTATTCCCTACACACTGTAGAAATATCACATCATATATCAAAACCAATATCAACAATTCAATATTTACAAATATCTACAAACATTTCCGAGCCCCTCCCCTCCTCATTCCTCCCTTCCCATATAGAACAAACATCTTATCTGATAAAAATCTTCAAAGGTTTGTGAATACCTCCTAGGTAGGTATCAAGTATTAGGTGTTAGATATGCATAAGATTATTGTTCATTATTCATTATCAATACCGCAATCTGCAATTTGAGGATTTAGTATGAATGATTAATCTTGATCTTGACAATACTGCGGGATGTTCATGAATGAATGGATAGCGCATTGATTGGGGTATCACCCAGATACCCAGATACGTACTATGAAGTAAACGAGGGGGAGATTTGGTAGATACTTTCTCTTCTGATGATATGAGATTACATCTTGATGAAGAGTATCGATATTGGGTATGTATGTATTCTTTAGCTCGATATATATATAACTTACATACTCAAGCAAGTACCTAGGTAGATATATCATTTCATATCTTTTCAACACCGAATAATAAGAATCAAAACCACACAAACACGTACAAGTACAAGAAGAAGTAATCTTTAAGTTCTAAAACAACGAATGCTTAATAAAATACAAGAAACAAAACCCATCGGCAGCATACACTCCAAGATTCCTCTCCAAGATTTCTCTCCAATATTCCTATACCCACTCGCCAAAACTTATCCGTTTCCGACTCCTATCGTAGTCGTAACTCTATCCTCCTATTCCCACGCTATCTATAAACAATATTCCTTTCGACTCCAATGCTAAAGTAATGCATTCCAGGCGCGTACAAATATAAATCATAATCAAGCATGACAACTCCGGCTTGCATCTAACTCCACCTCAAAACGATTCCTCAATCTTCATCTTATGAACTCTGATCTTTGGATGACTGATTAACGATATTAGGATTTGACGACTCATCAACCGCATTACTGCTAGAAGTCCTCTCGACTCCCTCATTGCTAATAGTGCCACTTTCCGTAGTCAAATCACCATAACTAGGCAATTCATCCAATCCACCACTACTCAGACATCTCGCCGCTCCTCCAGCATCAAGCTGAATTGTAACACCATGCGTCATCGAATCCCCATAACTCGGCAATTGATCTTCACTTGCATTTCCTGCGAGGTTCTCCCCACGAGCTCTCGTTTCACTAGGACCAGCCACATTACTTGAGCTTCCTCCCACCACTTCCCTATTTTCCTCTCTCTCACTCCACAACATTCTTTTCTTCCTCGATATTTTATCTAACTCCAAAGAAAACAATCCTATCGCCCGTGTATTATCCACGCGTCTCGCAACCTCAATTTGTTCTCGGAGATCTTTTTCTTCCTGTTCCAATCGACAATACCTCTTCCACTCCACAAACCAAAAACACAAGAGTGCAACGACCAATTTCTGACCACTGATCGAAAGACTAGTCGAAGCAAGCTGATGTGGAAAGTTTTTGGTAATCGCGGCCGTTTTGACCGGATGCTCATCTTCCATGCTATGTCTCGGGGCCAACATGCCAGGTTCAAGAGTGGTGGGTGCTTCTAAGATAATACCGTGTTTGATAAGAGCTTTCTGGATCTTCACACTGGAACTTTCCATATCGACAATATCGGTTACCATAAAAGCTCGCTCGCCGAGATACATGGGATGCGGAAGACGTCGTTGATATTTGATGAGAGCATCGGCTTGAGCCGGACTAAGAGAGACATCGGTGAAGGGGTGAGCTTCGGAGAAGACATTGCCGACGGCATTGAGGAAGGCTCCGGAGAGTCTACGGACGCGTTCCATGATCGCTGATGGCCTTTGTATCACCACACTATTGTAGAGATTTCTAATGGCTGATTGGATGATATTTGGTATGATAAGATGAGATGAGATGAACGCCCTGATGTGAATGCAAGGGACTATGCCATGCCCTTGTTCTGCAGATAATATTGATGCTGGGATGATTTGAATCAGATCACGGAAAGGTGCTCACGAACAAAAAGGTAAGTTGCTCACGAATGAGGGGTATTAATTTGCGTACATGTCTCGTACGCACTAGATCTCCATTCACCGTTCCACGCAGATAAAAGAATCAATCTTATTGGTGCACCAGAGCAAGACGGACTGAGGAAGAAGAGTAAGGCTACCCAGGTATCCAAGGATTTCTTATCAAAGTAGCATTAATTACTAAAATGATAAAGATCAAAATAATGCAACCCCGCTTTCAACCGATTGCGAAGCTGACATAGTGATTCCACATTGAGAAATCCAGCACGAGACGCTGAAAGGATGGCTGCAGCAAGGGTTTCAGCTGAAGTTTGGGTCACGAAATGATCACTTGAACATTTTATCTCGTGACTTTTGGGGCAAATATGTGAATATGCACATCGTTACTCGGGTCTTGGAAATGGGGACGCCGTCGTCAATATTGTTGGGAGGCGTAATTATTGTAGGATCAAATTCGCAAACTTGCAAAGGAAGACAAGGTAAATCCCTCCCCACAATTAGCCAATACGAGGTCCTCCGTACAGCGCAGCATGACCAGTGCATACCTACCGAGATATCAAGATACTGCTGTACCATCCTCGCCATCCTTTGAAGCGTCGTCAAGCTCAACAACTATCGTGGCGATATTCATTGCGCAATGATACCTATCCATACAAAGAGAACCCAGGCAAGTACGAAGGATACTTGATTAATGAAAAAAATTGATAATTAATTAAAGAAATTCGAGAATGATTCGAGAATGACAACCTTGGAAACCAAAAGTATTGACGTGGTGTTGCACTGCCACAACGGCTTGTGTCGAGCATCGTTCAACCTGTCGTCCGTGATGAAAATTGTCTGTTCCCGACTCGCGATTACGAACGGCTTTATGCGCATTGCCCTCAACTAAACATTTTCGCCCCTCTCGCTGGCAATGTCTGTCTGGGAAATAGAGAAACATTGCAGACATTCCGCCTTGTGTTCAGCTGTTCCAGGATACCTACTTATGCCACGTTGATCGCGTTAAACTTATACCTCTCCTCGTACAGGCATTTTGGGTCTATCGGGGTCTATCGGTGGCATATTCGTAGTGATCAACTGACTAAGATCCTGAGGGCTTATGGGATCTTGATTCTTGATCTGATAACCGCATCGACAATCCCGAAGCCATTGAATAGGTAGGCAGTTCATGGTATGGCGGTCATCAATATGGCTGTGTTAAGGTTACATTTAGAAACGCATTTAGAAGACTGATACAGTCAGGGATTTCTGATGGATATCTATTGATGAGGCTAACAAACAGGGCCGTCACATTTATGCCCTACGTGCAATTTGTATGGAAACGGCAGTTCTAGATATTCAGAACCTCGGATGATATGATAGATCTCATGTGGATAAAGCGTGGTGAGAGAGAAAAGAACAGGGCACGGCGCCAAATGGTAACGGCGATCCGAAGAAAATATCTTCTGGACGAATCCGCAACGTGCTTTTCCGAATACCAGAAAATGGAAAGCCGATGTCATGCGTCACACTGCGTTTGTACCCTCTTTCCCATACCATCAAGCACAAGTGTCTAAGCGCGCATGTAGAGTCACCTGTTGATGTTACCCTTACCTGAAGATATTCCTTGTTACATACCGTGAGCTTTCTCGGGCATCAAGATAGACATTGACCTCTTGAAAAGCGCTTCGATGCGGCCAAGGACAGGCGATGAACGCACATAATAGGCTTAAAAACTGGGAATATTGCTCACCGTAAGATACAGTACTCAATTGCGGGAAGAGTTTCAGCAAAGTTTGTGTCCTTGTGATCATGTCCTCCATGGATTCTCCGCCATTGAAATATCTTCCGATGGTGAAATCGAAATGAAGTCACGAGAATGGAGGATTTTGACATTTGATCTCGTGAATCAGGATTGATATCATTACGGCGTTACTCCTACCTACCTATTGATCGATGATGTATACCTGGTCAGCTTGTCATGGAGATCCGAGGCTTGATGATTCATGAATCAATTGGTGTACGACGTCGAGACGGTTGAGATTGTACAACGTACAGTAGTGCCAGAGTGCCAGAGTGCAAGTTCTGGGATATTTCTGAGTCGTGCCTATCCACGACGGCAAGTTTATTAGGTTATTAATGCCGGATGCGAGGCCCTAAGCCCGCAATAGTTAGGAAAGCTTTAGTTGATAATAGTTAGGTTATTAGCTAGGTGATGTAGGTAGATGCTAGATAGCCCTGCTCGGGCATGCCCGTTGACTATCACTCAAAAGCGGCGAGAAGGAGGGCGGGGGAGACTGTTAAAACATCTCTCGTGGCGGTGCAAAACAGTTTTTTTTATACCGGTACATCATAAATCAACTTTAATAAAAATCAAAGCTGTAAAAGATTTTATTACCAATTCGGCAGTCTATTTACCCATTTGCCCACCTACCTACCAAGTATGATATCTAATTATAGAAATACCAGCCCAAATGTTCGGAAAAAGCATGTGGAAAAGATGCAGACTGTTCCATTGTAACGTCGCCACACCTCGTTACATCCTATCGTGTAGCTTAAAACGCGTACACCGAGATGTGTTCAATGACTGTGCTTCTCTCAGAGGTTCATGCTGTGAGGGTCATTGCCAGTGTAGACCCTGAATTTGCATCGCAGGAACCTGTACCCTATGCATATCTACACCTCCACCATGATGTGCTCCTTATACCTGTGCGTGAAGGAAGGATGACCTTCAACGAATACTCTGGTTCATTGTTACTTCCCCTAGAGCGATATCGTCGTAAGTGCATGACTGGTGGAACGGCATGTTTACACGGTTGTGGTTGGCAGGAATGCACCGGCTCGAAAGGTGGTTTGTGCGAATCAGAGCCCAGAAACGAGCTTTTGACAGCGACGCTACTTTTCGCAACTGGGATGGGCTTTTGTGATAAATGCCATCTACAGGCTCTGATTCATCGACGACGACTCAGTCTAGTAGCAAATTGTCAGAGTTTTTACCATCCACAGTCCACACTCTCAGAAATGTTTCGTCCGTCGTACCCCCGGAAGAGTGGTATCGCTCGCTGCTTAATTTGTTTGACTTTGTACATGGCCATGGCTCGCACGAAGAGGAAAAGGACTCAGGAGAATTCTGGAACTTCGAGATCTATTCATGCAGGAGATTCCAATTTTGGTGTATAACTGGGTAGATTATCGATGAAATAGGTTCAATATCCGGTCGTTCGTGCCTCCAGTCTCAGACTGGAAGATCCATAGTCGTCGTGAGGCTTCAGAGAGGTCTCTTAATCTCCAATACCTATGTAGATTATGGAGATGTATGAGATTAGACCAAACTTTGTCTTGAACAGAATCACTGTGAAAACCTGTATGATGTTTCACATTGTTGACGCAACCTCACCATGATCAATTTTCTGCCTTTCTGTATGCGCTGAATATGCGTATGCACTGTGCTGTGCTGTACTGTGTGGAGGTGCAGGTTTGGGCTTGATGCAAGTCATCCTTTCATCGCCGGCCGAAGTTGAGGCCAGATGATATTGGCGACATGGTTCAATCTAGGAAAAATAACGCCGGCTGCATATTGCAACATGGGTTGGTTAACTCAAGTAGGTAGTATCTGGGGGTAGTCGCAAAAGAGGAGTATAATCATGATCAAAGTGGTAAGGTAGCATTGAGAATTGTGAAGTCCGGTGAGTAAGAGCCGAGAGAAAACCCAATTCATCCACCCACAGTTATGATGCAGTGGGAGACCGATCTCACGCCCTTTGAGATTAGTTTTACTCTCTTTACGCATCATGACACCAAATAATGGCCGTGTTAGTTTTTCGAGCAATGTAAAATTAGAGAGAAGGTTATTGGGAAGGTTTAGGAAGGTTATTGGGAAGGTTTGGGAAGGTTTGGGAAAGGTATCATTGTCGCAATCTCCGTGAATTGACTTTGGTTTTCTCATCATCGAAGTAATAATTGGGACCGAGTTCCCCAGCCCAAGCAATCAATAATAATTATCGATGATGACTGATTGATGACTGAGATTACGGCGCCTTACCCGATAAAGTATAGTTCCCACCGTGCCCATCATCTCAAGGTTGATTATACTTTTCCGTGCCATGGTCACTGTCAATGTCAATGTCAATTACTACTGTATTACGAGTATACTATGAGATGATTATTTATCATATGTCAAAAACTCTATCGATTACGATCAATATTCAATCAACATTTGACTTTGGAGAGCGGCACCCAAAACGGAACGACTGAAACCAAATACATACTAATACGATGGGATCTTCAAGCACATATCTCTTCTTCAGATTGCCGATTCTTTCCATTCTATTGTATTGCATTGTTACACCCTCGGTAGAGTCCAGATGATGATACTAATTCATCGTATCGTATTTTCGTCGCCTTTCTCCGGTGCTGCGTGGGCTGTGGTACGGCCGTGCATGTATGATATTCCTCCACCACGACCAAGGTCGGCATAGGTAGAGGTGGCAGAAGTAGAGCTATGGGAGAACATGAGATGGTCAATGGCCATTAGTGACCAAATAGAATCTGCTCCACGATACCGAGAAGTGCTCTGAGCAAAAAAATGCAGGATTTTTACGGAGTCCATTAAACTTTCAGCTGCAATGGTGACTGAAAGTGGATAAGTGGAAAACTCATTATCAGTCATCTTTTGATCACTTTTTATTGGCAAAAAATGTCCAGGGCTTGGGCTTAACAGGACAGGGCTTCAGTACGGTGCAGCGTGCACTGTGCACAGTGCAGGTGGCCATTGGGTATTCTGCGTTTTCTCTGCTCACAAAATAAAAATACCAGGGACCCTATTCAGTGGTATGCAGGTCGAATGCTCTAATGCAGCACTGCCCCCAGCTACTGCTTCGCTGCTTTACTGCTTTTTGCTGCATCTGTCTATCTTTCTGCTGCACCTGCTGCATTCGCTGCATTACTGCCACTATTGTTAGCACCCCCCCCCTTTCGAGTATCTTTTGTTTCCACCGACCCGTAGTCTTTCGATCTTTGCGGACAAAATCCAACGAATGAGGTATTTCATCGGAACTTTTTTCAAGATGTGATGTGAGTGGAGACGGGGGATGGAGGTGGCATTGGTGTAATCTACAATACACAAGACTACTCGCACCCTCCCTCCTCTGCTAGACTGCTACACTTTACCACTTCTAGTATCTACTCCTAGCCTCTTCTACCAGACCACATCTTGTCCAAACTGGATCAAGCCTTCGGATAGAAAGTAGGCTACGTCTATAGTTAAACCTTACGGGTACTACCACTAAGGGAATTCAAGATTTTCCCATCTATTCATCATACCTCGCCCTAACTCCCAACCTACTTCACCCCTTCATCCCTACGAGCCGATCCCGCCGCTTGACTAGTACCTGATCGTTGTCCTCTTATAACAACCCCACCATACCCTTCAACTCTTTTTTCTTACCCTTCCTTCTTCACGACCTCATTCGTCCGTACCTTTTTCGATATTTATTCAAGGCGCGCAAACTAGATCCCTTGTCTCGGGACCGCCAAAATATTTATCTTCATTTCGTTTCAACAAGCTGATTTTCCATTTCCCATATCTTCGTCACGTCAAGCTCTCGCATCTCTACATATCCCTGACCCATTGTCCTCGAATATCTATCCGTATCATCACTCCATACCCTGTCTCCCATACTTTCCGTCAAACTTTACACCAATGCCTCCTCAACTACTACCTGCTTCGGCAGCTGCTTTTGCTCCAAGAGCTTCATCCGTCAATGTTGTGTTAAGTTCAAAGGTTGAGCCATGGTTAACACAAACCTTAAAGCGTATAAATCGTATAAAGCGTCCTCTAAACAGTGTACCCCAGCACCAAAGATGCTTGACGGAAACGCTCTCGTCGTCAACAGCAATATGGACTCTTGGATCTTTGATGTTATCGAAAGCTCCGGAACAAAGACGCGAAGACTCGAACCCATTAGTTGAGGCCATGTTCAACTATCAACTCATTCACATCGAAGCTTATGTTGTTCATGTGGATATGGTATTAAGAAATGAGGTTGCCTACAAACTTACTCCAGATACGATAGAATCACTTATCGAGTTCCACAAGGATGTTCATTGCCTAGATATTGCAGCGAACACCTATAACTGGTCAGAGAAGGATCAACAAGTGAAGAAGATGCACGAAGACTTCATTCAAGCTATTAACAAGTTTGTCTATCGAACTCATGTCTCTGCATTAGAGGGATTAGAAGAAGATGGAGCTGGTGAATTGTTATGCGGTAAAAGTGATGAAGTCAAGAACAACATCATGGGACTTTTCCTTCCTCTACTCCCCCCACCACCAAGAGTTGTCGATGTGGTTAGACCTGCTACTTTATTGCCTAGCTCCCCGGCTGGCATGAATTGGTGGTCGCAACCTACGATACCAGTAACAGCCGCAGCTCCTGTTGACCCCTGGAGAATGGTCCCTTCAAGTCCAAGTACGACATCTTCCATGTCATCTGCAACCGACACTCAATCTTTATGGGCAAGTATGGGCTTGAATGAGATTCAACTGCCTTCCCCTACACCATCTTACAGCCAACCATACACCACAGCCGGAATCTTCTACAGCGCACCACAAGTTAGTGCGCCGATTCCAGCACTTCCTCTACCAAGCATGTTAGCACAGCAGCATTGCGGTATTGGTATGGGTTATGGTGGATTTGGTGGGTTCGGAGGTGGATGGGACCGATATCAAGAGTACGCTACAACGATGTGACAACCAAGGCCTGGATCGTTAAACAACCCCCCTACTACCCGCTCCGGGGTTTAGGGCAGGCGACAATATCACACATAATTAATGGCTCCAAGCCTCTGTACACGACAACAAACATTACATACATGGCATCGGCAAACTTCTTTAGCGGCATTTGATACCTCCGAGGGCACTTACGGCGTTTTTACATCTTCATTATCATCCTCATCTGCGATCGAGCGAACAAAAGATATCCTGGGAACAAATCATACTTAATAATCAGCAAGAACAACAATCTCCTTTCATTACAGATACATAATAGGATGCCATTTTTTCCCTATCTTTTTCATTTTTTTTTAATATTTTTTTTTTTAGCGCAGCGAGTTCGGATTTGCTTTTATATGACACTACACAACCGCGAGACCGGTTCAACTAAATTTCCTTTTCATCGCATATGGCAGGACCTAAAGGCGGGTTATTTTGAAGCATTTAGTGGCATGGTTCCAAGATTTTCATACCATAAAGAGAATACCTTATTAAAAGGATAACGCAGCAATGCAGGGCTTCACGGGCGCGTCTGGATACATTGATTTTTCTCTTTTCTTTTTACGTTTGAGATATTATCTTACGTTTGTTTTGGGAGGAAGGAAACCGGCTTTTTCTACGTCCATTATCTTCTTGTTTCTGTTTACGAATTTATGAATCATGGATGCTTATGAATTTTGCTTGGACAAAGATCAAGGCATATGATTTATGGATTCACGAAAATAGAAATCGGAGACATAAAAAGATCATCTGCTGCGCAGATCGACACAACCAATGGGCGAGATACTAGTCCTCCTCTACGCGGACAGCAATCAACGGACAAATTGTTTAGATGAAATCATCAAACTGCGACCATTCCAACTCGCCAGTCGAGATTGGCATTGGAAGCGAAAGGCCTGGATCAAGTTATTTTACCAGAAAGGACAGACTCTTTCAGAAATCCAATTTAATATCAACTCATTATCTCGAATGCGGATCGATCAATACCTGCAAGTCGGGCGATTGAATCTTACATGTTGGGGGTGTGCTTGTTATTTGGGTGGATTTGTGCAAGGGATTGGATGTTCGGTAGAAGAAGGAGTGAAGGGCAAATGGTAGTTCATCACTACATCTTCCACACTATCTCATACTGTTATACTTGATGTATAGTAAGTTGAAGGTAGCGTTTGGAAGAAAGCTAAAAATTCTCTCTCGTCCTGCGGACCGAGTGAGATAGAGGTATCGATGCAGGTTTCTTCATTTCGGCACAGGGCAAGGGAATACAGGGAACGGAATCCATCATACTGGCTATGTGGATTATGGGAGAACGGTGGTAACATGGCTGGAACATGGATTACTAAGTATGGAAAGAGAAGGAACAATACTGTGTGTAGGTAATCTTGGACTTGAACCTGATACCGAGAAAAAGATTGAAAATACAAATAAAATGAAAATCACGGAAATCTATCTATTCAATCCTTTCCTGGCTTGTGATCTTTTGCTCTGTTGATCAAACGAGGTGAGGTGAGTTCAGTATCACATGAATGTGGCATGTCACTCGCGAACTCAAAAATTCTTCCCATAGACAAAATAATGTCAGCCACTATCAAATCCTCCTCCCATCCAGCCGGCCTTCAACCGAAAGGATTCTCCCCAATGCATCTGGATCCGTAATGAAACAGGGCTACACCCCGATTGGTCAGCATTACGAACATTGAAGCGATGCCCAAACCAATACCCGCTCTCGCCGCCCATCCCAGCCACAAAAACGAGCGAATTTACTACTCATTTAGGAAATCCGAATCCGAGGGTTAGAACTTAGTGGGCTGAAAAGTGAGAAAATTGGCGGGAGCGGTGGTATCGTTAGATTACCGTAAAACGATATCGGCTGGTACGTTGTTGTATTGATATGGGGTCCCCTCCTCCATTTCTGTGCGTCTAGAACCCATTCCTTGTCGACTATGTATATAGAGATCTTCATATTACGGCGCTGAAGTTTAATTATGCGGTAGGTGGTATGTGGTATGTGGTATGTGGTATGCAGGTAAAAGGAGCTTTTTGTACTCCCACTCGCAAATTGTAAATTTCATTCCATGTCTCCGTGCTAACTTTGTTTGCTACCTACCTGTCATGCTCCCCGAATCTCATTTCTGACATCTGTCATAATCCCAAGAGATGCAGAGACACGGCGCAGTGAAACTGTAATACCTGGAGAAACAGCATTAGTTGATTGATTGATGGATGAATGGATGGATTGATTTAGTATAGAATATTTACATCGCCCTATCCGTGGACAAGCGCTTTTGCCGACGACTCAGGTCCTCAGTTTCATTTTTTGAGCTCTCACTTTGTGGCACAGCTGATGTTCTACTCACATTGGGTTGTAAGCGCGGGGGTACTAACTTCGTTAGGTGTCAATACGAAGTAATCTACCGGATATCATGAGATGAAATGATGTGATATTTGTGTCTCCACCTACCCTACCAGACCAAACATCCATATTATATTGTATCCCCCGAACCATCCATTAGAGCAGCGAAAAAAAGCCACAGTCACCCAGAAAATTGCCATTGAAGAAACCTTCCCAGCTTGAAATCGTGCCACATCATTTCGTAACCTCGCAATCTAATCAAACATTTTAAGCGCCTAGTCTATGAGCCAAGCTCCAATGATTCCTACCCAATCAAGCATAACGCACTCTCCAGGACTGAAATCAAAGAAAAACCTAAAATCGAACCTCACACTCCAGTAAAAAAATTTCATGAATCATACTCATTCAAGTCAAGCGAGACAACTCCCGTTCTCGGTCCTTCTCATCCACACACACCTCATTCCTCCCGCGCATATCCCTCTCCAGTTAGTCATTAGTGCATCGAGGTATTCGTGCATACGGATTGTGACCAAACGTCTATGGACCCGCATGAGTTTTCAGTCATGTGAGTATCATTTTCTACTCAACATTACAATCGATTGGCCGAGTGATCGCCGGATCAGCTATGTGCACACAAAAATAGAGAGAATTTGCGCGATTTCTTAATTTCGATGCAGATTTTAGAGAAAGAGAATGCAGTCCTTTACAGATGCGGTATCGACCGTGGAGATGACCCGCATGAGGTTTCGGTCATGTGAGTATTGGGTTACCCCTCTTCTTTATATTTTGTTGATCGGTTGAGTCGTTTGTCGGAAACGATTGAATTGAGATACATGAATCGTGTTGTGTCGAATGCGGCAAGAAGGGAGGAAAGGATTCGATGTGATCTAAATGATAACTCGCATGAAAATTCAATCATGTGAGCTGCATCTACGAGAGAATTCTAAGAAATATTGGCTAACCCCTACTGAGATATCCACATCGAGCAAACAAGAGTTCTTATCTAAGTCAGAACTTCTTTTCAAGCCTAGATTCACAAGCTGAACACTGCTAAAGAAAAATAAGCCAGGCCGAGAAATTATGATAGATCATAAGAGCTACGCAATCAGGAATTCTAGAACTGATCTGCATGGAGAAATCGAAACAAGGTAGACGTTGATAGCTACCCGTTACTTCAACGGACACGGACCGAAAACATCATAGTGTCAGATTTGCGGACGCTTTTGTATGATGATGAACTCCATTTAGTCATTCATGACTCATGTGCGAAGAGTGTGGGTGGTATTCGAGCTGCGACTAGCCGATCTCCGAAGGGTGATTCCCACGAAACACACGTGGAACACAAACCCGTTATGTAACCTTGTTCTGGGAGAAAAGATATCAAGTCCTTCAAACTTCAAATATCCTAGACACGGGCCCCGGCCCGAGATATCCTGCAGTATCGGGCTGAAATGATAGATCAGATTTCACAATGTCCCGTAGAGGAGATGAATCGTGCGACTTTCAAAATATTCATCATATTCCTCATTTTGATATTATTTCTCGGTTAGTTTCTTGTCCTAACGCTTACCTATTACCCCCCCTAAATATCCGAAAGCATAATTGACTCAACTAGGAGCGCGCATGGTGCCGATAGCCAACCGCGGGCTCAAAATAAGCATAACCCCTAAATTGAAGCCGAGGAATCCTTCAATATGAACCGGCCCGGAAAAGTGATGATATTAGTCGCCGTGGCGGTGACTTCACGAAGCGGATATCAAGATTACGGTCGCATGTATTCACTAAAGCGGAAGTGATACTGAACTTCAACCCGAACAGAACCAGAAACCGGACGAAGCAAAGCAAAGCAATTATAACCTTCGGATATCTGCTAGGCGGATGTACCCCTCAATCCGGTACCCCACAAGCAGAGTTCAGAACGTATCCAACTCCCCGATTCGTGATACATAACCTGCGATCCGATCTCTTATGTTACGAGAAACCCGGTTTTCGTTGGGTGAATTTATATGTTTCCGGAAAGGAATAACAAGTCTATTCGAATTCTTGATTCGTTTACCCTTATGTTTAGTTCTGTCTATTCAGTACAGGATACTCTCTGAGGCAAGAATTAGTGTCACAACCAAAACTTCTGTGGTTGTTGATGGATCACGAGGTTGTTGCGTCTAATCCGATATATACTGAGGCAAGAAGTACTCTGGATACCTACCTATGTAGGTACCTCTGAAATATTTCTCATTAGGTTTGACATAATTAGTCCGCAAATATTAGACCAGAGTGCTTTCATAACTTAAAGTGCTTGCTTCAAATGCTGTGCTTGATAAACAGTCTAAATATAAAACTATCAAGCAACAAGATGGATTGTTCAAGAAGGAGGAGAAGACATGTCGAGGCTTATCTTGTTAGCTGAGATGATACTTCATCAATTTAAACATAACCATCGAGCTCTCAAAGAGCTAATCACCCTTATAAAAGTCGAATGCTGAAAAGTCCCAATTTCGCTTCTTTGGCGAGGAAGTAAAGTGTCAAATGTCATCACTGGGTTGGTATTCAAGCAAATTCAAAAGATACGTAAAAGATAATTTGGATTGCGTCAAGCAAACATAATATACAAGAAGAAGCATCCACCGCCAGGTTCCAGCCTTCAACCAATCCTCGGAGATAAATCAAACCTCAAGTTGTCTAGCTCTAACCCCCTTTTCTATTCAAATCGCGGAATTCCATACCGGCTCACAATATCACAAAGTCCTGGGACTCATCCGTAGATAAAGTCTCTAAGATGTGGTGATATCGCTCTCAGTGTAGATACAGTATTTACCATCAGGTCCGCTTCCATACTCAGTAGGTTCCTGGCTGTTGTCCTCAGTACCTGTGTATGTCACACAGATATCCTTAACAGACTTTGCCACAATATTGGTGAAGGTTGCAGTGTCGCCAAAGTTGTAGTTGATGCCTACAGGTATACTTAGTTAGCAAAAAGAATAATACGAGGAGAAGTACAAAGATCATTTTTCCTCGGAATAACATACCAGCAAGCTCAGATCCACTAGTAGCAGTGACAGAATCCATGATAACGTGTCTCTCGAACATTTCATTGCAGTTACCACATGATCTGTACAATTTTCCAAAGATATCGACAGTGAAACCAGAAACCTTCAAGGTTCCAGCTCCGTTGTGTTGAAAAACCTTATCCTCGGCTCCAAAGGCACCTCCACCAGAAATTGTTGTGGTGGCTCCAGCATCTTGTTTCTTGATAGTAAAGGCATCTTCGCAGACAGCAGACCACCATACATTGGTCAAGGTGCAAGCTCCTTGGCAATGAACACCTTCGATTTGGTTGGGTCCGATGATAACGTTAGAGAGGGATCCACCAGCTTCGATTTGGAAAACGGCATCGCTGTCACCACCTTCGGCTTGACCGGTACAGCTGACACCTCTATCGAACATAACCATTCCACCATCGAAATGTTCACCTGCGGCGATAGTCTGAACGGCTGAAAGGGCAGAAGTACCTGAGGAGGCGGGGACAGACTTGCCGGTAGTACCGCTGGATGAGTTACCAGAGGATGCCGAGCTGGTGATTGTTGACGAAGCAGCGCTAGTGGACTTAGACCCAGAAGAGCCTGAAGACTTGGCGGTGGAGGAAGCTAAGGAAGCCTTAGATGTGGAGGAAGCTTTGGAGGATTTCTGGGTGGAGGAAGCTTTGGATAACTTCTTTGTAGAGCTGTAACGACTCAAAGTCAGTATTGAGGGTAATCAAGAGCGTTTGTAAATATTTTGATCACTAACCTTGAAGAAACCTCGTCATCTTCATCTGAAGTCTTGCGAGCGTGCACGACCTCTCTGAAGTGGAGTCTTGGAGCATCGCGTGCTTCGAGACCATTGGAAGCATCCATAGGAGCTGCACTAGCAACACTGATGGTGGCAGCCAAAATGGCCAATTGAGCGAATGAGAATTGCATTTTGATTTGAGTTGAAAGGTAAGTGGGTTAAAACTTGAAATGAGATATTGAAAAGTTTGACCAGCAAGAAATGAAGTAAAAGACTGGATTGTGTGGATAGTGAATGATATGGAAAGAGTGAAAGATGAAGATGTTGTTGATGAGGATGAGAAGCAATAACAGACGGGTATCTTGGTAACTTATATATCTGAATTACTCCTTCTTCTCCGGATACTCATCGGTGCTGACCCCTTTGAACTTTGGAAAAGGAGAGCCAAAAGCCCATCATACCGGAGGCTGCGAACAATCAAAAAGAAACACTTGTGGAGGCCTTGCTATCTACTCCACGGAGTAAGTCCCCGATAGCTATCAACAGATAGATTGGCGCCAAAAGAGGGAATAGTCTAGAGAACTTTAATTAATTGGACCAATTTGAGAAACGATGATCTTGAAACCGCGATGTGAGTTTGTCCAATCTCAATTCTCTCGAGGCTATGTTTAGATCTAGAAATGATCACACTTGAACCATCTGATATCACTGATATCTTGACGTTGCATCATTATCCCCACAAGTACTTTTAATCAAACTCGAAACTCAAAAGCCAAAGCCAAGATGCCAGAATGGGACCTAATTTTTTTATTCCGAACTGCCAAGTTAAGATGCCATCTTGTAGTTTCCTTTCTTAGCCGCTTGGCGACTTGGCGCTTACGACTCATTGCGAGAAAAAAAGACCAAAACATTCACCCACAACAATATCGACATTGCGTTTGTTGTTTCCCCATAGAGAGTGCAGTAGAGTAACCTTCCGTTCTCGAAATCAAGAGAGATAGTATGTGAAGAGTTCAGGAATACATTCAGAAGTTCACACCACTGAGCCACCATTCACTTGGCTAGAAAATCATTCTGCTCAAGACAACAAGAGCATGAATCTGCTTACGTCCACCAAGTCTAAGCTTTAAAGTTTTTCCATCTAGGAGAATTGTTGGCATTAAAAAAGGTACCAAATACAAGCAAGAGGCTGAAACAAGCAACTGTGGAGAAAGCATATGCCATTGTGGCCCCAAACGTCCCATCTAGACGGTCTGTGTCTTGGCAAGTAATATAGGATGATTGTGATCGTTGGGATGATCCAATGACGCACTGGAGCTGTGGGCATAATTCGGGTGGATAGAAGCGCCCATACCGCCTGCCATTGACTACATTCGTATATATCATGCATCATCGGTTGCAATTGGCTATGAATGAAGAGAGCGAATTAACCTTCTACGATGTGAAGTTTGAGTAAGCCGGACTGATTCCAGTTTTGGGTTGAAGGCTCTTTTTGACCCGAACAAGGAAAAGGGACAGATAGATCTTTCCTCTTTCACTTCAATCGTTGACAGAATAATTCAATCTGATTGCGATCCTAGCATTTTTGATTTTTTTTTTGATTACCTAAGCATTGTATGCCCATTAGCGCCAAACCGTGGCCATCGTCTACAACAGTTTCAGAGTTTTGGGACCGACACTCCATGAACTGTTCATCCGACATGTTGTTTAATACCAAAGGTTGAGCGTCGACTTGGAGCTTCTTCTTCAAACATGATAGAGTACGCATTTGGTCGGGTATCCTTTGGCAAATCGAAATGGTTGTCAAAAAGCTCTGGGACACATCTCGAGTGCTGTCCAACATCTGACGTGTTACTGTCAGTATTTTGGCAATCGTTGAGATCATAGGAATGTATTCATCTCTTCCACAGTTGCACAGTCTTCTTGTGTATTGCAAGGCTTTCTCTGAGGCCCCTGTTCAACGTGTGATCGGTAATAACCATTCACGACCTTGACCATTATCTAGCTTCATTTGTCTTTCATCACTTGGTCACTTTGACTTCCGCTCTGTCTCTATGTGGTGTGATCTGTTCGAGTTTGGACGTTGTAGGGGTCAATCAGGTCTGTTGATTACTCTCTGATATTCACATTCTATTACTATCCTTGTTTTCGATAAGTATTAGTACCAGCAAATAATATAACCATTTCGGCGTTCTAGGAGTGCGAAAGCTCCGAAAGATGATAAAAATACAGTAGACGATAAACTTACCCTTCGTCATCCGCCTCTATGCAAGACAGCGCGCTTGAAATTGGATCTGTACCATTGGAAATCTACAGACAACTATACTCATCTCTTCTGATACAATTTAAACCTTCGTTTCTGATACAATTCAAGCGTTCATTCCAGGTACAATGCATTATCACTCTTCAATTTCCCTTATCTGTGAACACTTCATCTGCATTCCCTCCCATCGAAAGATTTCTGGGTGGCCAAGCATGAAATTTGCTCCAGACAAGTCATCCTAGATCAGTACGTCAAAATTCTCCCCCCCCCTGTTTTTCTTGCGGGTTTGACCTCAGATTCAATCGCTCCTCGATTTCCTTTGATAATCTCTATCACAAACTTGTATGAAGTGCAGACTTTTCGAACCACAACCATTTGAAGCTGCAGCTCGCATTTCAATACGCTTTCCACAGCAAAGTTCCCATGCATATCAAGATATCTTACCAACTTATCTATTATGTGCAGACTGGTCGCAGCGTGCTGAGAGCTATAACAGTTTGACGATACCGCAGTCGTCCTGCAATCGTTGCTTCCGACTGATTAGCCCACTTTGCGAGAGAAGACATCTATGATGATAACACTGGCCTGAGTTCTACCTTGAATACCCGAACCCTACGCAGCAAGGCATCCGTTGAAAATATCAGAGCCCTTAAATTGTGCGGGATACCAGGCATAGATAGACGTTGTAGAGGCGGTTTGAATCGACTTTCCTTGACTGCTACTGGGTGAAAACCCAACTCTCTCTGTTTTGACCGCAGCTGGAACTGTTTCGATCGATCGATCATCGACCCCTAGATTCATTATCGCTAACACATTCATCATCGTCCAACTCATAGCCAGCCCGAATTCATGATCTTTTCCCTCCAACAGCAAAAGTTCTCGATGTTAGAGGAGGCCGTTGCACCAATACGCAGGTGAACTCACAGCCCACCGACGAGACATCTCTGCACCTCCCATAGCTATCCACTGACGAATATATCAAGAAATCTGAAGCAAAAGGGGCTATCGAAAGAGCCGTCTACCTAGTACATCTTGCAAAAATATCTAAATGAAAACAATGAACCAACAACGATCAAAGCACATTGAGCACCTGAAAATTACCAATCTCGTAACTCATTATTACAATTTTAACCCGTCATACCATTGAACTTGGTGCAAAACTTCTCATCATGTAATCTAGAGTCTTCATCGAGGCTTGCGAAATGACTAACAAGGTAGCTATAGTACCAAAATGCAATAACAATTTCACTGAACTAGAATCTTATAGGAGTTAACGCAATTCTGATAATTGACCAACTAGGATCTTATGTTAAGGAATGATAATACTTAGGTATTTAATATACCCGACCAAGCAATCTTTTCAACGTTGAATGTTCATCTTCTCCTTGATAGTTCGTTCTACAATTGACACACTCGATACAAATGTTTCAGTTGATATAGCCATCAAATTGCAGAAATTTGATGCATGCTGTAGAATCAATGTCACATATATTGGACTGAATAAATTTTCGTTTCTGTCAATGGACAATGTTCGATATCGTTCACTCCTATTGATAACACTTTGTATCCTGATACTGATATCTGGATTTTGGGAATCTTCACTTTTTCATATATCAATCTCGAAATCAGCCCTCATCATCAAGTATTAAAAAGTAATGCCCCCCATCCTACATCGAAAAGGTCCCTAGACCACAGGCGGCGTCCTACCCGCACTACAAGCCCCACTAATACTCTCACAAGCGAATGTCAAATTCCCCGAACTGTCTCCTATCCAAAACAAAAATGGCTGCGTGGTAGAAACCGGAATAACCCAATTCTGCTTCGTCACATCCCAAACGCTGATGTCCTTTCTCGTAACGGCAAGCGATACGACTTGTTTCCCTCCCGGTGCCAATGTATCCGTCTTGGCATAATTACGTAGCTGGATAATAGGAGTATCATAGGTAGAATCGGAAGGATGTTGAACGTACAACTGGACAACAGATTTGCCCGCTACGAGACCGGTATTGGTCACTGTGACTGACAGAGTGAACACTGTGTCCCAGAGCGCTGGGTTTCCACCTTGATCTCCACCAGATGGGGGGTCGGGTTTGGAGACATTGGTGTACCCAGTGGGATAGACGAATTTACCTGGAGTAATACTTGAAGGATTGTTGAGGTATGGATAAAGATATCGTCCAATAGCGGAGAAACCTGCAGGCCAGGCGACTTCAGATGCTGGAGGAATAGCAGTACTATATACTGGAGTCGAGCCTTTAGCAGCTCGGGCCGGAGGAACCGATGTGAGTGCTTTTCCGGCTGCGAGAGTAGCCGTTCGAGAGAATGTGGTGTAGGAAAGTCCATGGCCAAATGGAAAGCGAGGGCTGATTGCATGCTTGTTGAGGTATCGATAATCGACATACAAGCCTTCCGAGAAAGTATCCTGAACCTGGCCAAGCGCGAACCCGACAAGACCAAGGGAGGATGGGTAGTCGCTTTCCGAGACAGGAATGGAGTAGGGAAGATGCCCACTAGGAGAGTATGCACCGAAGAGGATATCCGTCAATGAATCTCCAGCTTCTTGACCTGGTAAATGAGCAAAGAGTACGGCTTTGACTGAAGTAAGGTTTATCCAGTTCTCAACAAGAATTGGTCCCACTGTGTGAACAACTACTACCACGGTAGAATACTTAGCTGCAGCAGCTTGAACAAGTGCATCGCCGTTGTGCCATGCGTACAGTCCTGATGACGAGCGATCTCCATCGTTTCCTTCCACAGTTATTGAATTCTCTCCAGAGTCACTGTTTATGAATACGATGGCAATATCTCCAGGTAGAGCAGTCAGGCCAGATGGAAAGCTATCACTGGTTGAGCTATAGACATTGGAAGCTTTTCGCTTAATCGCGTCAATGGGCGCATCAAGGTAAGGGTAGTTGGCAGTACCTATGAGCTTGATTTAGTTTACCTTTTTACAAGAATACTTTGAATGATGCATAACGTACCTGAACCCCATCCCATACCAAGAACGCCAGTATCACAACCCCTTTGACTGCAAGCATTAGGCCCTGAAGGATTATTTGCAGAATCAGAACCAAACACTTTCAAAGCAGCTGAGGTTGAGAGTGGCAGCGTGTTATTGACGTTCTTCAACATAGTTATTGCTTCTCTCGAGATG